AAAAAAAAAAAAAAAATACACATAATCAAAAATAACATGAGTATATTCTTTTTTTTGGTATATGTAAGGTCAATTATAATCATTATATTTTTATTCCTTTAATCAAAATTCTCAACATTTTGTTCATTTTTTCAAAATTACCTTTTCAGTTTTCACTCCCACTCAATGACTCAATATTAAGGTTTCGTACTAAATTAATGAGAGATGCTACGGTCCCGTTACGGAATTATTCCGTCAAAGTTTGTAACCGTTAGATCAACTATCCTCGGCTGTTACATGATGATCTAACGATTATAAACTCGACTGAATTGTTCTGTTACGGAACCGTAACATTTCTCTAAAATAATAAAAAGTGAAAAGGGAAAATAATAAAAAGTGAAAAGGGTCGAAAATTTGCAGGCTCATTTATCAACACCTCAATTTCCCAGGGACGTATATGCAAAAAGGCCGAAAATACAGTGAAGGCGTATCTGTAGTCTGTACCGTGTGTGTGGCGTCTAAACCAGTAGACGAAAACTCTAACATCAGTTTCCATTTTCTCACTCTGCACCACTTTATTTTCCATAATAACACATTAGCACCCATAATTTCGCCTCTATTTCAAATTGACCCAATCCTTCACTTAAATCAGTTAAAAAAATTCTCGTCATTTTCAGAGTTCTGAATTTGTGCTCTGTGAATATTCTCTCATTTTCCCAATAAAAGGAGCTCATGCCCCCATTAGGGTTTCAAGAAAACATTCCCTTTTTCGATCCATTTCCCCTTTCCTTCATCAACACTCCATTGATAAAGCTCTTGATTTTCGAAATTCGTTGTAATTGTGTCTTGAATGAACCCAAAAGATTGTTGGTGCTTGGAGTTTGTGGGTTAAGTCTCTTCCTTTTTTTTTCTTCTCTTTGTTTCCTCTTTCCTTCATCAACACTCCATTGATAAAGCTCTTGATTCTCGAAATTTGTTGTAATAGTGAATGAACCTTAAAGATTGTTGGGTTTTGCATTTTCTTGCGTGGGGTTTGTGGTTTGAGGCTCATTTTTGGTTCGGTACCACAATTTTCCGGTGGAAAGGCCGTTCTTTCTGATTAAGCTTCACCGCGCCCTTTTTTCCGGCATATCTTGCCGTTATCGGCTCTGATTAGGGTTCAAAATTTCATTTGTTTTGATAAAGGTGGAAACTTTCGGATCCTTTGTTGATTTTGTGGCGATTTTGATTTTCCCCTTTTGAAAATGCCAGCAACAGATTACCACCATCACGAATCATCGTCCTCTTCCTCGAGCTTCGGATTCTCCATCCTCAGCCGACGACGGGACCAAGTCAACTCCATGGACCCCACGCACGGGCTCACGGGCCTACACGCCGAGCTCGAGTCCTTCCAGCGCCAGGTGGCAGAGAGGTTTCACGACCTGGCGTCAGGCAACCCGGAGGACCTCCTTTCGATCGCCTGGGAGTTATTCGAGATGATAATGGTAATTGGGCAAAATTTCATTTTTGGTCCATTATATTGGTCATTTTCCAGAAATGGTCCACTAATTTGGCAGACATCAAACTTGATACAATAAGTTGTAAAATTCATCATTTTTAGTCCATAAGCCTACGTGGCGTTTTATCGGGCGAATACGTGGACAAGTTTGATGTCCGCCACGTAGGCTCGTTATCCAGCCCGAGTGATTAATGGACCAAAAATGATGAATTTTACAACTTATTGTATCAAGTTTGATGTCCGCCAAATTAGTGGATCATTTCTGGAAAATGACCAATATAATGGACCAAAAATGAAATTTTACCTGGTAATTGGTTGGCTAGGGGGATTCACCATGAATATTGGTTAATGTTCGATTATGGCGGCGGAGCTATGGGGACTTTTTCGGGGTCTTTCCTTGGCGTGGGAATTGGGCTTTCGGCAGGTCGAGGCAGAGGTAGATAATGAAAGTGTTGTAAAATTCTCGGAGTCTTTAGATGATGTGTCGGGAGTGCACTCGGGGTTAATCCTGGGAATTAAAGACCTCTTAAGTCGTCCCTGGAGGGTCAAGGTGAAACACGTGTTCCGCAAGGCGAATTTTGTAGCCGACCACATGGCTTCCTTCGCTGCGGAGGGTTTGTTCGGTTACCAGTATTTTAGTATGCCTCCCGTTGGGGTTCGGCCGTGGCTACACCATGATGTGATTGGTGTGTCCTACTCGCGTAATGTAGTTGACTGAAAATTATAGGCTTCGGCCTCCTCCTTTGTACTAAAAAAAAAAATATAGTTGTATGGAGAGTTGGACTTGTGCAGTCACTAATAACTTTACTTAAATAATTGCTTGGTGCAACTGCTCTTAAATATTTAAGTTGTTAAATGCTTATCAAAGTGTACTTGTAAATGCTTGGAATTTAAAAACTTTTGTTTTTGATAATTATATATATATATATATATATATAATTACTCGCTGATGCATTTAATAAAATATTTAATAAAATCTATTTTTATTTCTCTCCAAAAGGAGTTACATTTCTTTAATTAATTACTCATTAATCTGCTAATACCGTTACACCTTAATATATATATTTTTATTATTTATTTTTTGGACCAGTTACTAAATTAATTATAAATTTGGTAGCAAAATATTCAATTGTGTATTGGAACTTAAAGTTGTTTGGTACATTTAGAGCTATAACCGCTACATTTGGTTGCATTGTTGAAAGAAAAATATGATTGACACATATTTTTTTTGTCTAAAAATCAGAAACACCAATATTATTATTTTTTATTTATGTTAGTTTACTTAATATATGCCAAAAATATATAAATTATTTCATTCATGTTACTAATGTAAATGCTGCATGGTTAAAATAAAATTTAAATCTCAATTAATTTTGAATGATAAAGAAAAAGTAATAATTTTTATATAATAGAAGTATATGTCTAATTAATAAATACAAACAAAAGCGTAGTTATATCTGTGCAAATGCACATGATTAAATACTAGTATATGAGTAATGTTTGTTATTTTGTGTTTAGCCTCATGAACTTTCTACTTTTAATGTATGTAGGTAGTGTTTATTGAAGACATCTTTACATTTTATTGTTTAGACTCATATTAATTTATTTAATTTATCATATTTAAATGTAAAAACAACATACCAAACTTAATCGTGGGTCTCTCCGTGCTTTGCACAGCGGGTTCTCCCTTAATTATATACATACAAATAATCTATAATACTTTATTTATATATCTCCGCAAAGTCAAATATAAGTAACATTTACATCAAATATTATGTTTAAGTACTAAAAATATAAACTATATTTAAATTTAAGGAAAAACAACGATTTTTTTTTAATATCAGCAAATTATTTTTTGTTATTTTGAGAATTAAATATATTTAAATTAAAAAACAAATAATTGGATAATTGAGATGGCGTTCAAATTATGAAATAAAATAGTGAAAAATATTTTTTTTTTCTTATGTAAATTTGTCGTTATGATAAATTATTTTTTTAGATGAATTTACTACTATCTATTTTGTACCACAAGAACATAAATCAAATTTTCACTTATTTAACATGTGCAATGGATAAAGACTAGACATAAATTATCACTTATTTAAAATTGTACCTTGTTCTTTGAAACAAGTGGCCAAAATTTCTACATGAGAAAAATATGAGAAATGGGTTCTCTATTTATTCTGTAAATCCATGTTTTAAATACCGGTTCGTACCGGCCGGTATTACCGGTAATACCGGATACCGGTGGTCCGACCGGTACATTTACACTCAAAATACCGTTTTGGCCAAAATACCGGTTTTGTACCGGAAAATACCGGTTTTACCGGCAAATACCGGCCGAAATACCGGTCAAAATACCGGTTTATGCCATTTTTTTTCACAAAAATATTTTTAATAGATTTTTATTATTTTATTTATATAAATTGAAATTTCTACACTTAACTTTAATAGTTAGTTTTAGTATTAATTAAAGTTAGTTCTCTGAGATCTTCTGATTTTCCCCGCCATCATTTTGCAGGTTCCTAATGGGCTCAGAACCTTGACATCGACGACTACATCGATGGCGTCAAAGGAGTCTGCGGATAACAACCCTGGCCTTCATACCAATGTTGATGAGGCCACCAATGGCTATTTTTTACAGCAAACTGTAATCAAGCTTCTTCTTATACATTTCTAAATGTCCACTTTCTCACTATTACATGTATTATAATTTAAAATTCCTTTTCTTCCTGGATGACACTGCTGCATATTTGAATTCAAATGGCTTGGTGAATTTTGTATTCACTAGGATTTGTTACCTTACAAAGTGTAAATATCTTTAGTTTGGTTGGTTGTTTGTAAGTGTATTTTTTGTAGCCTTTGTTGCAGTCCTGATTGGCACATTTGATTTCAGGAATTTTAGCTAACACGTTTTTGGCTTTACCTTTTCAGATGATTCGGGTAAAGGATCCGAAAGTCAGTCTTGACTTCTACTCCCGGATAATGGGCATGTCGTAAGTGTTCTTATAGGTTCCCTGAAAGAAACTTGCGTCCGGTTTTCAGCTATTTTTGCTTTTAGTTCTTTATTTTCTGAAGGTGCCATAAATGATAATACAGGATCTATGTGACGGTATTACCTTGTTTTATTACATATGCTTGTGTTGTTTTACTGAAGTACTTGATGTTTTCCTTTCTTCAGAGAACTCTCGTTGATTATGGTTATGTATATGTTACTTGGTAGTATTCATGTTATAGTTTGTTAACTTGGCCAGACCAAAATGTTTGTGGTGCTGATATTTTTGAATTAGAATATTGCTGCATTTCACACTTTAAATTTCTGTATCAAATCATTGTCCCGAACGCATGTCCCATGGCTTTGTGTTGATTCCAAGTGCATACGCTTTATTATGTGTCTTTATTGTTCATGATTTTGAACAAAATAGATAATAGTTGGATGGGATTAAAGCTGAAAATAAAGTTTCACACATGGCTGTAATATATGTTAATGGATTAATTTCACAATTGTTTTCAGGTAAAAATTTGTTTGAATAAATACTGAGCAAAACAAGGTCATTATTCGTGATTATTTTATTGACACAGGTTGCTGAAAAGGTTGGATTTTTCAGATTTGAAGTTTAGTTTATACTTTTTGGGATATGAGGTAAATTTTCAACCCTTAAGTATACATATACAATGTTTATGTTTCGGCTAATAATAGAATTTGCTAATTATTCCGACATAGCGCTAGCTTCCATACACCAGGATTGTTAGTGTGTATTTGGATATCCATGTCCTAATCTTACTTGGTCCTCAAATCCATCCATGTCTGGCTATTCAGGATGTGTCATCAGCTCCAAGTGATCCCATTGAGCGCACGGCTTGGACTTTTAGTCAAAAAGCTGTTCTTGAGCTTACGCAGTACAATATCTAACTTCGTTTTATTTGAGATTAGTACATTCATCTTTTAGGAAAATGGTCTCTTCTCACGCCCAAGTCTTAAAGATTTTTTACTACAGCAATTGGGGCACTGAAGCCGATCCTGAGTTCAAAGGTTATCACAATGGAAACTCGGATCCTCTTGGTTTTGGTAAGCAAAACATTTGATTTCGTCTCCATCTTTGTATGATAAATGATGCTCATGTTTGGGTTTCTCTTTTAAACAAGAACTGTTTTTAATATGAAATGTTGGATGTTTAAGGAGATCCATGTTGTATTTTCTGGTCATATAACCAAAATTCTTGTAGAATATGCATCTATTTGAGAAACAGAAAAACAGATTCTACACATTGCATCTATATCACCAACTTTATAAGTGTTAAGAGTTGTGTAAGAAATGATATATGATGAGTCTTGTATCTTTAGTTGATATAAAACATCAGTCTTGTGAGCAGTCTCAAGCTTCTTAATATTTTTCTTTATCTGTCGTTTGATTCATTTCAGTTTTGTATCTGCTCCCAATGAACTAAATGCATATTACACATACCACTACATGTAGACATTTACAGATCCATAATTTGTTGTTATTTGTTTCTATCTTGATTGTACTGCAGCAACTCTTAGTATGAAAATCACAAATTAAAAGTTCATGTCTCTATATTCTTCTAGATAAAATCTTTTATTTGGATTGCTTCATATTGTTGTCAGCAACGCTAGTGAATTTCTTATTTCCAAAGAATAGCCGACTCCTATGAAAAAAAAAAAAAAGAAAAGCAAAATGACAATATTTTCTGAGCAGCTTGGCTCCTTTTGGTATCTCGTAATTGGATGATTACATTTTCTTTCATACTTGCAGGACACATAGGTATTACTGTAGACAATGTGCATAAGGCATGTGAGAGATTTGAAAAATTAGGACTGGAGTTTGTGAAGAAACCCGCTGATGGTAATCAATTTATTTTCATGAATAAATGCGTTGCAGTAACTGCATCCCTATGCTCTTTATTTGAAATACTTTGTCCTTCCTTAGCTTATGACTCTTCTATTATTAATCATGAAATTCTGATGCAATATTATTGAAATATATTTCTTAAAAATTTCAGTAAAAATCTGGTTCAGTTGACTGGTGGCATATTTTGTATCTCTCAGCGGTCAATGCACATCAGTAATTTGTATGTGCTATCATCTCATTGTAGTTTAACAAATCTTACCTGCTTAAATATTTTTTTTTTCCCCAAAAGAGTTGTTTGCTCATGAAGCTCTGGTTCAGAGTCTCAATTCGGTCCAGGCTAAAATTTTTCGATGTGGGAGTTCTTTTATCATAGTACAAATAAAATTTTTGCTCTCTCCCATTTCTTGTAAATGAGTGCATGATGTGCTTCTGATCTCCTTCCGTTTATATATATCATTGAACTGAATGAGAATCTATCCTTGACTTGAATAATTTCAATGACATTGATATAATTTTATGGTATGCATGTTCCATTCTTCTTCATAGACGAACTACTTTTATTTGCAGGAAAAATGAAGAACATGGCATTTGTTAAGGATCCTGATGGCTACTGGATTGAAATATTTGATACGACAAACATTGCTAAAGCAACTGCTGAAGCCGCCGTTTGATCCATCTTATGATGCATGATTTTTTAAGGTAACCATCTCATATGTAAATATGATGTTGTATTCTAATGATCTCATCAGGCTTTTATGTTCAGCTTTATTTACCCTTCTATTTTGGATACATCATATTTTAAAAACTCTTGTGATCTAATCCTTTTTACCTTCTATTTTGACATTCATGTGAATGTAAGCTTCCTTTTCATTTTCTTGTAAAAAAGTCCTACAACATTTGGACATGGTGATACTTGCACTGACATTGTAGGCCGCCCAATAATAGCCTTTTTTTTTTTCCCGAACGATAGAAATGATCTCATATCAAATAATCGAGCTGTGATATTTCGTTTACTTTTGCAGGGTTATGATGTCGTTGGCTGAGTATGGTTTGATTGTAAAGATAAATTTGAATTTGACCACTTCTATTTAGTATTTACAGATACTCTGGTAACTCTACTTTCAACCTTGGCTGCTATAAGATGATATTTTCTGCTTCACCTGTGGATGTGTTTATTTTTCATATGCTTGATTATGGAAATATATATATATAATTACTGGCACATAAGCATTTAATAAAACCTATTAAATTATACCTACGTGGCACTTTCTCGCCAAAAACCGTTACTTTTCAATTTTATTTTTTTATTATTTTATTATAAAAACATATTTGATTTGTATTAATGTGTTGCTATGTTAATATTGGTCAAAACCTCATTTACTGTATAGCCGTTACATTTCTCTTTTTTCCTTATTATCTTTAGTACCTTTGAATTTCGAAAATATTTTTTTTATTATCAAAAAATTGATTCTGTTGACATCGTCTTCAATAAACCAAGTTAAGCGACGCTGATCAGATGATTATGTTCAGTAGGAGGATGATTAAATTCGTACAAGTAGATGATGTCTTCACGGGTCTCAAGACAATCACATATCGGGTAAAAATTCATCCAGAACCGACATCTTCGTCAATTGACCGATATCTCATGTCGGTTATGACATGTCGGTTACTACATGTCGGATATGACATATCGGTTATAACTGCACGAGTCGATATCTATGACTTGCCAAACCGACACCATAAGGCGGTGCCAACTCAGCAAAACTCATCATTACACCTGGCCAAGTGGCATGCTACCAGGATGAATGGCAATTAGCCGCCGTTGACTATTCCCATGTAATGATTACGTTTCAGATAAATGTTGTAAATGAATATAAGAGGAAAAGAGGAGATTCTCCAGGGAGATACGAGAGATATAGACAATAATATTCTGAAAATTCTATTTCATTCAGCCTTTCATACGATCTTTGTTAATCTATCTTGAACACACGGTAAATCCTTGATTATCATATAGTTGTTAATTTCCATTTAACAACAGTTTGGCGCTAGAGGAAGGGCTCATCACGTTTTGAGGTTAACTTTCGCTGTTATAGCCATTTTCACGCTCGAAGCCACCATGTCGCAATCTGGTCGAGACGATACAACTCATCCTGGCCAAGTCAATCGACTAACCATTCCCCACGACGTTCAACACCACCTCCTCCGGTCACAAATATCACGAACTTCCTTCAAAACCCGGAGTTTATTCAAGGTTTAACCTCTCTGATAGCTCGAGCCATGCCCAGAAACTCGAGTACGATGCCATTATCAACGCGGTTAGCTACCAATCCAACAGAACATCCAAATCATACTCGTCGTGACCCTGAAACACATGCGGCGACATCCCATGCTACGTCACAACCCCACCATACTTCTCCACGTCGAGAAGAGTTAACTCGTATAACTGCTAACCCAGTAACAAACAACCAGGCCCCGGAGGAACCCCCCGTACAGGAAATGACTGTTGAAAGCCACTCTGCTCATCATCAGCGAGTTCCGTCACGTCCTAGACCTACTTCACTGATGCCTCATGTTCGTGAAGATTTACGGCGTCAGATTGAACGAAATCGTATCTCAAGACACAGTGCAGAGGAAATTGAAGTTCTCCGTAAATGCTTGGCCGAACTCGAGACTCGACAGAAGTCACAGGAAGATTCTCCCCGACATGTCTCGACGTCGGGAAATGTCATTATTGAAGCTGATTCACCTTTAGCTCCGAAACTTACCGCGGAGGCACTTCCTGCTAAGGTAAAAATTCCACAAATTGGCATGTATGATGGAACTTCGGACCCAGACGCACACTTGGGTCATTATACGTCGTGGATGGATTTGCATGGAGCCTCAGATGCTTTGAGATGTCGGATGTTTTCGCTTACACTGGGGCCACGAGCACAAAAATGGTACTATACTCTCCCACCTCATTCAATTTGGAAGTGGCAACAGTTACGTGCGGCCTTCCGATCACACTTCATCGGAGCTCAAATTTGTCTCATCCCAAAAGAATCAATCACTAACATCGTGCAAAAGGACGACGAAACTGTTAAGGACTACGTGTCTCGGTTCAAAGATCGAATTCAGAATATGGAGCCTTGTCACCCTGAGACCCTGTTAGTGACTGCAATTGCTGGACTGAAGCCCAACTCAATGTTTCGTTGGACCCTATGTCAAAACAAACCGGCTACGTTTCAAGAATTCCTGGTACGAGCCCAACAATTCATTATTGCTGAGGAATCGATGTCGGTTCCCAATTTCGACTTCTCGGCGAAAGAAAACAAGACTGAACCGGATGCTAAAAAGAAGAATAAAAAGAACTTTGGGAAAGCACAATTTCAGAATTTCTCCAAAGGATATGAAAACACTCCAGAGTCCAGGACCGCTCGTGATCAGTATTCAGACAATGTCAGGACAGACTATCAGGCCGTTTATTCAGCCGGAGCAGCCACTATATATGAAGAACTGAAAGGAAAAGGGATCATTCCAGACCCGAGAACCGTGAGAACCCCTGAAGACAAGCTGGACAAAACTCGGTACTGTGCATACCATAAGTCTCCGGGACATAATACCGATGAGTGTCTCGGTCTTTTGTCATCCCTCTTACGGTTAATTGGACAACCTCAACTGCAAAAGTTCCGAAATTTTGATAATCGCCGGAAAGGGAGGCCCTTAGATCTTTCAGATGATGAAGATGACGATAATCGACCTATTAACCCGAAAAATGCCCGCGCGAACGATAAGGAGGTTTTCACATTTTCTACTCTTGTCGGAACTTCGACTGATAACTGCAAAAAATCCAGGACACATGATACCTCAGACTCTTCACATTGCATACCTCGAGTCAATTCTAATAATAAACAGCTGGACACTTCTCGACGGAAAGCCAAAGCTTATGCCAGGGAGGCACAAAATGCCGAGAAACGAGTCATGAAAATTGATCTTCGAGATACCATTAATAAACGGAATTGTCCTATCACATTTAGTATCGAAGATACCAATCTATTCGCTCATCCTCATTCCGACGCGCTTATTATCACAACCCCGATTGGAGGGATCCCTGTTCACCGAATTTTGGTCGATACAGGAGCTTATTCAAGTATTTTGATGTTCCGCACTTTCAAGAGATTGGGTTTAGACCTAGCAGATATTAGACCTTGCAACGACCAAATTCAAGGTTTCAATGGAAGCATCTCCTGCCCTGTCGGCGAAATATTACTCCCTATTCGATTTGGCGGCTTTGGACCAAAATCCAAGATTATTATGGAGACTTTCAAGGTCTTGGATGTCCAGAATGAATATAATGCTGTTATAGGGCGAACTGCACTTTACAAGCTCCGTGCTGCCGTGTCAATTTTTCATTACGCCTTGAAGTTTCCTACCATTGAAGGAGAAGGCACTCATTACGGAGATCAACGAGAAGCCCGAAGTCTGACGTTGCTCTCAACCTCGCGTAACTTTCATATGATTGAAGAGCAGGATACTGATAACTCTATTGAGTTGAAAAACCCAACTTCTCCTGATGCTCAGAGGACTAATCAATTCACTTCAGATACCGACATCCCTCTTCTTGCAGATACCGATGTCCCTGTGACGTCGGATTTGCCTGAAACACTAAATGAAGCCCTTGATCAAGAACAATCATTTCATGAAAAAAACTTAGGAATACACGAAGATATGGATCCACGGATGCAATTCAAAGATAGGAACCATCATGCCCGAGCGGAACCAGTCGAAGACATCGAAACTATTTACGTGGATGGATTGACTCAGGAAAAATCATTGCGCATTGGAGCTAACCTTCAAGAACCCACACGATCGTGCTTAATTCAATTTCTTCAGTCAAATTCCGACGTATTCGCCTAGAAGCATGAAGACATGAAAGGAATAGAGCCGCAGAAAGCATGTCATCGCTTAAATTTGGATAAGACCGTCAAGCCCGTCATACAGAAACGCCGAAAATTTGGCCCAGATCGCCAGAAGGCTCTTGAAGAGGAAGTGAACAAGCTCATAAACAATAAGTTCGTCAAAGAAGCCAAATACCCCACGTGGATATCAAATCCTGTCTTGGTTAAGAAAGCCACCGGCCTTTGGCGTCTGTGCATTGATTTCTCGGATTTGAATCAAGCATGCCCGAAAGATAGCTATCCAATTCCACACATTGATTACATGGTAGACGCTACATCGGGACATCAACTCATGAGCTTTTTGGATGCCTCTTCCGGTTACAATCAAATTCCCATGCACCCTGATGATGCTGAACATACATCATTCTACTCAGCCCGAGGTCTGTATTGCTATGTCATGGTGACTTTTGGATTGAAGAATGCTGGGGCCACATACCAAAGGTTGGTCAATAAGATGTTTGCTCGTTTGATCGGTCATACAATGGAAGTTTACGTAGACGACATGCTGGTGAAATCGGAACAAGCCTCTGATCACATCGCTCATCTTTCTGAAGTCTTTGACATTCTCCGAGAATATTCCATGGTGCTTAATCCTAAGAAGTGCACCTTTGGAGTTGGATCGGGGAAATTTTTAGGATACATGGTGAGTCAAAGAGGAATCGAAGCCAATCCTGCCAAAATCCAAACCATACTTGAATTGGCTCCCCCGACATC